CCTGTCTCTGTCTCTTTGATTCTAGCTCCCTCTCCCGTTCAATCTCTCTTTCTATCTGTGTGTATCTATGTGGTAGGTGTACGTGTATAAGTGTGTGTGTGTGTGTGTATGTCTGAGTGTGTGTGTGTGTGTGTGTGTGTGTTTGTTTTGTGTGTGTGTGCATGTGAGTGTGCGTGCGTGCGTGCGGCGTGTGTGTGTGTGTGTGTGTGTGTGTGTGTGTGTGTGTGTGTGTGTGTTTGTGCGTTCGTGCATGCGTGTGTGTGTGTGTATACATATGTGCATGCGTTTGTGTGTGTGTGTGTGTGTGTGTGTGTGTGTGTGTGTGTATGTGTGTGCGTGACTGGGTGTGCGTGTGTGCAGTAACAACAAAAGCAGTAATACTCATCAGAAAAACATTTTTTTAAAATAAAACACAAAATAAACAAAACAAAAACAAAAACAACTAACCAGTGGGAGTAAGTTTGACACATTTTCCGCAGTTCTTGCCGCACCACTGGCTGTTCCCGCCATTGTCGTAGTACATCTGGTTAGGGGCGGTCACGTGTTTGGACATGTTCCAGTCGAAAGGAGTGTCTGTGGATACAGTCATGAAATATTCTTGCCTGTAATGTCCACCAGGGGAAATAATATACAGACTTCAACAAAAGTTAAGGACCACCTTGACAGACAGTCTTGATTTTTTTTTTATCCGAAAAAAGACGGCAAAGAATGTTTCAGAATTGTTTTATCTGAAAGTGTTCATGGGTTACCAATGCGTACTGCAAAGCTTCCTAAAGGGCAAAACCACCACGTGCTGCACGGAAATCTTCGGGGAATTTTAGCCACATTTGCTCTTTTTTGTCGACTTGTGTGCAACACCAGGGACATTCCTCAGTTAAAATTTCTAGTGCACGTCATAAACGGACGTACGGTCTCGAACTGTGCTCACTTTGGTGGCAATATAAGCCGCAGTTTGCTCAAAATCCAGTATCGCATCAACATGCCACAAAGATGAAACCTGAGAGACTTTGCTGGTGTGCCAGAGCTATGGCATGGCTGCAGGATGGCGTTGGAGCCCGAGAAGTTGCCAGACGGCTTGCAGTGTCACACTCTGTCATTGTCCACCTGAGGCAGCGCCATCAAGCCACTGGATCCAACCAAGAGCGCCCGCATGAAGGTCGTCCCAAGAAGACAACTCAGAGTGTTTGCAAGTGGTCCTTAACTTTTGTGGAGTAGCGTGGTGAAATCAGGTGTTCTTCAAAAGAATAAAGTCGAAGAAATCAGTGTTTTACAGGCAGTTGGGCAGTTTGTGTCGATTTTTCTTTTTTTCGTTTTTAAAATTTTGGCTCAACACCTATTATGTCCATTTAAAAAACATATTTCTGGGTTGATTTTAAAGAAAAACGATGATCAAAAGCACAACAAAATATACGGATTCCATAGACTCTCAATCTTTGGAAATCGACATATTAGGTGGCCGTTTTAGGGGGGGGGGGGGGGGTAATTATTCCTCTGACTTTAGAGACTTCAGCTCTTTTCAATAGATACAACCTCTACTTCTGTTTAAGATAGTAAAATAGTCAGATATTTTT